GTCCATAAAATGCATTGCTGTTCTGTTGTAAGTGATCTTAAAGATTCCTAAATGCATCTACTTTCGGAAGGCCAAATAAAGTGCTTTTGCTTTCGCCTAGAAACACACAGCGTCTCCCTGACATGGCTGCTTCAACACTAACTGCGGTTACTGAAACCACACCTTCTTTCTTTGCGTGCACATTTGGGCGCATTATGCAAATATTTCCACATAGTGAGGTAGATATGTGGGGGCGTGTTAGAACGAGCCGTTTTAGGGGGGTGTGGCAGAGTCTTAACTTTGATAAAGAATATCTCTTTGGTTTTGAGACTTTAGTCTTTGCAACTTCAGGGATCATATCTATTCACGAACAGCTTGTAACACTCCAAAGAGAAAGGAAAACTTGAAATCGCATCATATGACCCCTTTAACGTTCCACCTGGAAACAAACATGTTGTGTTGCCAAATCCCCTCATGGAAGAAGAAAGCCGTCGTGTTTACAACTGTGACGATGAGCGCTTGTCAGGATCAACTAAACGTTGGATTTTCAAAAGCATGTGAAATATGTAAAGTTCGCGGCATAGACTCTTTAAAATATGTCCAAGAGTTTTACACAACGGTCTGTTATTGTGGGGACATTTCCATGCCCTTAAACATGGCACAAAACGAAACGTGATTGGTTGTTTTACCTGTCAATCATATGGCCTCTTGGGTGGGCCAAGATTCCCAGACCTTTTGCCGTCAGTCTGAAGGTCTGGCTACGCGAGACTATATAAACACAGTATTTACAGAGCTTACATGGCAGACAGTGTCCTTTTTTGAGGAACTTCCTCCTTGACGGGACAGGCTGGAGTCCACAGACTGTGCATCAGATCCGTCAGCATCTACTGTAGCTGGACTGTCCGAGCGCTTCCCGAATCCAGTCTACAAGGGATGCAAATGAATGCAAAAATGTGGCTTTACAAGCAGAGTCCATTTGTCATTTGGCTACAAAAACTGAGATATTTCAAATAAACAAATCTGCCATAACAATTGTGTAACCCAATGAGGACTGTATCGCTGAGGTGTCAATCAACAAAAACCTGCTGGTACACTGGCGGTATTTCTGAGTGTAGTCTGACCTGTGGATCATTGAGGCCTCTGGAGTCAGAGTCAGAAGTGTCTCTGTACAGTGAGCTGGCCATCTCCACATCAGTAGATGCCCTGCTGCGTTTCTTCAGTGGTTTACATGAGTCTGATATCTCACTGGCACCTACAGGATTCCAGTAGCATTAAGATACTGATCCATAAATTAATTTACGGGCTTATTAATCATTCAAAACATGACTCAAAAAAATGCCTCTAAAATAAACATTTAAATAAATGTAAAATTCATCTTGCAGTGTCAAGCACCTTTTTGCGACCCTGTTTTGAAATCCATTTGAGGTGCTGCTTCAGCCTGTGAAGAAAAACAAAAAAGGCAATTTTATAAGAAGTTTCTTCACTATTTGACACCTTTGCATAACTTACACATTCATAAAGGCTTGTGTGACTCACTTTAAATATAAACTAGACGTATTACAGTGTTATTTTAGTATTAGGGATGTAACGATTCACTCAACTCACGATTTGAATCGATTCACGATTTTGATTTCCCGATTCTATTTTCTTATGATTTTTTTTTAACAAAATGAGATTGAAGACATTATACAGTAAATGAAAAGGTGTCCTTTTATTAGGCTATTGCTGCACATTTCTTTGTGAAATTGAAATATAACAAAACTAAACTGAAATTTTAAAACAAACCCTAAATCAAACGTGTAAAGTAAGTTACATGAATAAAATAAATCTCTTAATATGAACAAACTAAGGCTTTGTCTGTGCTCTTTCCATTTAAAATGAGAGGCAACCACTGCATTTTAATCATCATCCAAACAAAGATGCAGCATACATGCAGCATGAGCAGTTTTTTATTTATTTATTTTTATTTATTTATTTAGTCATTTATCAGATGCTTTTATCCAAAGCGACTTACAAATGAG